GACCTTTTATAGAGGATTTTTTGACAGTTTAGCTTGATGATATCTTGGTGTACAACAGGACCCGGGAGGAGCATCTTGTTCATGTCCAAAAGGTGTTTGAAGTGCTGCAGAACGGACAATTGAAGCTCAATGGTGAAGAAGTATGAATTTGGGAAGAACGAGTTAGTGTATCTCAGCTTCATCATAGGGAAGGGATAGCGGAGAATAGATCCAGGCAAGATGGCAGTGATCACGAAGTGGCGGACACCTAGGACAGTAATGGAGGTGAGAAGCTTCATGGGGGCTTGCTAGTATTTGCGCAAGTTCATTCGACATTTTTCGACTTATACGACACCTTTACATGGCCTTACAAAGGCGAAAGTTCAATTCGAGTGGGGAAGGATGCATAAGGAGGCTTTTCAGTTGCTAAAGAGGAAGATCTCAGAGGCATCAGTGTTAGTGTTACCTAATTTGCAGAGGACCTTCGAGGTAGAGACCGACGCTTCTAGCTATGATATGGGTATTGTGTTAATACAGAATGGGAAGCTGGTGGAGTACCATTCTGAGATGTTCAGGGTGCTATTTAGAACTACCCTACCTACGACAAGAAGTTTTATGCACTTTATCAGGCGATCAAGCATTAGAGGGTGTATTTGTTGGGTAAAGAGGTGGTTGTGCACTCAGATCACAAAGCCATTAGAGTTCCTACATGTCCATACGAAGCTACAGCAGGCACGACACATGAAGTGGATATCCTATTTTATGGCGTTCAACATCATTATTAGGTACAAGAAGGGGGAGACTAACAAGTTGGCCAGTATGTTATCTCGACCGCCGGTGAGGGCTTTATTGGTGGCGATGCGTATTCAGCCCTTGGTTCCTTTGGAGTATGTGCAGATGTACAGATGCAGTAAAGGCTTCGGTAGTGTGTTCGAGCAGGTGAAGGCTAGTCAAAGGGGGGAGTACGAGCTTGGAGAGGATGGTTTGTTATATCGTGGAGCATTACTTTGCATTCTAGAGGATAGTGATAGGTTGCAGTGGATTAGAGAGGCACATACATCGCGTGTGCAAGGTCATTTTGGGATCCAAAAGATGCTTTTCAATCTATGACACCATGTCTTTTGGCCGAAGATGCTAGAGGATGTTACCAAGTACGTTAGAGGGTATAAGCTATGTTGCATTACAAAGACTTCTAACAGGAAGCAGTGATTGTACCTACCATTATCAGTGCCTTCTAGACCGTGGGAGAGCATCTCTATGGATTTCTTAGGAGGGTTGCCAATGACCAAGCGCGAGCATGACTATTTGTACGTTATGATGGAACGGTTTAGCAAGATGGTGATCTTGATTCCTTGTAAGAAGACCGTGACAGGAGCGGGTACAGCGCAAATTTTCTTTAAACATGTGTGGAATTGCCGAGTTCGATTGTTTTGGATCGGGATAGCCAGTTTCTTAGGTATTTTTGGGATTCTTTGTGGAGTTTGATGGACACTAGATTGAAGAAGAGTATGACCTTTCATCCATAAACAAATGAACAAACAGAGGTAGTCAACCGAACTATAGTACACATGTTGAGGGAGTATAATTTCAGGCATCCTAATACTTGGGATGAGAGCTTACCATATCTTCAGTTTGCATTCAATCGGGCTATTCATGGATCTTCGGGAAAGTCACCGTTTGAGACTTGCTACGGATTGTTACCGCCAAGTCCATTCGATCTCGTGTTTTATAGTGAAACTATGGCCGGCGGCAAGGGAGGGACTGAAAGACAACAGGCTCAGCAATTTCTGGAGAAGATTGTACATATTCACACCACAGTTGAAGCTCAATTGAAGAAGTCACAAGCTAAGTATAAGGTGAAGCATGATCAACATCAAATTCCTTGTAACTTTGGCAAAGGTGACATGGTGTGACTAAAGTTGAGTAAGGAGCGACTAAAGGGAGAGGAAATAAGTTGAAGCTTATACGATATGGTTCGTTTCAGATTCTTAATCAGATCGTTGATAATGCCTTCAAGATAGATTTGTCACCTTACTTAGGCATGTATTCGGTAATTAATGCCGAGTACTTAAAGTTGTTTGAGCCTCCATTGTTAGACGATGAGGGTGACGATAAAGTGATCTTACCGTACGTTGAAGACTTGTGGTTTGATAGAGAAAAGCCGCTGAAAGATGATTGCATTTTGGAGCGGAAGGTGACTACGACGAGACGCGGGATGAAGGAGTCATTTTTGATCGGATGTCAAGGTCAGGTTCCTAGCAAAGGCAGGTGGTTCAATAGGGAAGGAGGGACTCGCGAGTTCCCTCAGCTGAAGTTTTAACTTGAACGGGACTTCAAGTTCCTAAAGAGGAGAGTCATGATACGGCTATATCTTCTCTCTCCTTCGGGAGCTTAGCGATCTTCATGGAAGCTTGAGGATAGATGATTCTCATGGTAGTTTGAGAATAGAGACATGGATGGAGCCGTTGGTGGTGGCGAAAGAAGTCAAAAGTAGTAAAATAGGGAAAATCAGGGAACTTGAGTTCAGGTGCCGGCCGGTGTGGCTGGTCAACCGCATGCTCAACACCGATCGACCGGATTCGTGTACACTACAGAGTGAGGATTCGTGCGCTCTGGCCGGTCGACCGCGACTCACTTGGTGGTCGGCCAGATATGGTTCCGACGACAGGGTTAAAAACCCTTTCTCTAGCCGGTTGACCGAACCAAGCAGGCCGGTCGACCGGATCGGCCGGGTTTCCTAAGTTGTCTGTGACTCTTTTTGACGCGTTTTCTTGGTTTGTTTGGACTTGTTTATTTACAAGATTATCATCCACGTTGTTAGGGATATAAATAAGATTGTTTTAGGGTTTCTAAGGAATCAGATTGTATTCAGAGAGAATAGAGAGATTGTTCTTTATTCTAGTGAGATTGTGAGAGAGAGATTTGTAATCTTTTATTACTCATAACCTAGAGAAGGTATTTTCCTTCGCCAACTGAATTGTTCTTTTTTTTTTGCTTTCTTCTCAACCCACCTTTGATAATTCCACGATCAAAGGTGCTCGCACGGCGACTCGTATCACATGATTTTTTTTAAAATATATATATGCATAGTAAAAATAGTATATACTTCAGTGCAACTCAAATATTGGCTTGAAACCATTTAGAGTGAAGTCATTTCTATGCTAGAATGGTGATATAGTGATTACACATTCTAAAAGTCAAAGAAAAAAATTTCTACAAAGGAAAAGTTATTTAATATGTCAAATTAAGAACTAATTTATAAAATATACATGGGTAGTGCAGATAGCTATAGAAAGTAAGGTATATATCTTCATAAAAATTTCATAGTGAGTGACCAACTATAATCATCCTAATTTAAGCATAAATCATTATTATTTTAGTTACTAATTTGGTACGCGTAACTATGGAATAAATCTCCAATAAAAAATAGGAATTGAGATTGTATTATGCTGTAGGTAAATAAATAAATGTTATTAGATCTCCTTTTTATATTAAATTTAAAATAATAATTTAAATTATTAAGCACCAAGTGTTAGCTCATGTGAGAAAGTAAAGTAATCTATGGTCTATATACGTATATAGTCAATCAATCAAACATATTAAAATTATAATGACCACAGTCAAAATTATATGGTAAATTCATATTAAATATAATTTATAAAAAATACTACATTAAAGTCAAAATCTTTTTAACCACTACATTGATTGTCTGGAAATTTTTGCATATATAAATTATACTACCTAGGAATAGTGATGTGCACACTTAACTATGGTCTAATAATCTTAAGAACAACTTATTCTTCAATATCATCATTAATTGATGTATATGTGCATTACACTGAAAACACAATGAAAATTTAGAAAACTATAAAATAAACACCCTCAAAAGTTTTAAAAGTGTGAAAACACCCTTAAATTTATAATTTAAAAATATACAAAATTATTAAACATTACATTGAAATCAAGGTGTTACAAAAAAATCATTGAAAATTTTCAAACTTTGGAGGGGTAATTTGTAATGTACAAAACTTTAAGGGTATTTTTTTATAAATTTCAAATTTAATAGATTTTTAATTAGTTATGTTCTTTTCAAAAAAGTTATGGGTAATATTTACCTTGAAAAGTTTTTCCTAGACCTATACTTTTAAAAGGTGTATAATATTTTTTACAAAATTTTAATTTTTTAGGGGTTGTTAGTAAATTTGCATATTCATTTTAGTGTCTATAGGTTAGAAATTCTCATGGAGTTTTTTTGTAAATTATGAATTTTAAGAATTTTTTATAATTTTTTAAACTTATAGGCCTTTTCTACAGATTGTAAATTGTTTATAGACTATTAATACTTCCTATGCTTTCAATTTACTAATGAATTTGAAATTTTCAGGGTGTTTATTATAAATTTTAAAATTTAAAGGATTGTTTGTAATTTTTAAGACTTTAAAAGTGTTTTCTATAAATTATAAATTATATAGGTGATATTTATAATTCCTATATTTTTAATGTACTATTAGGTCAGAAATTATCAGGATTTTTATAAATTTTCAAACAATACGCCAACTCATATTTTTTTTAGTGAACTTTAGTATTCTACCAGATGCAAACCAAAGTTATATTGGACCGGTCATAAAATTAATTATACAAATGATCCGACCCGATAAATAAACCTTACCTAATCATCCTTCTAACTTCTTCCTTCTTTCCCTCTCTTATCCCCTCCTCTCCCCTCCCTGAAGCAGTCCCCAAATCCTGCCGGCGGTGGCGGAGGAGCCCACGACGAAACCCTAATTTACAATGGATTTCACCATCCTTAACCCTATTTCTTCAGCCTCCGCTCCCCCTCGCCTCCTCCTCTCCCCCTTCAACCCCAACCCCCTCCGCCTCCGCCTAAACCCTAACAGATCGCGCCTCT